TTCCCCCGCCATCTCTCCCAAGCTGGAGAGCAGAGATTTTCCCCCTCGACCTCGAAATGGCAGTGTTTCGAGAAGCCTTCTCAGATTGAGCCCCCTTGAAATCAAATTATCCCCTATTTCGGGGAATGGGGGACTCGAGGCACAACATGGCCTCTGCGCGCTCCGCTGCCGAGGCAGATCCAATCTGCGACGCCCCTCTGAGACCCTGAACACGGACGAGTCGCAATCTGCTCGGTCATCTTCTCGAAGATGACAGAATGTCGCTTGTTGGCCACACAAATGGGGGACTTTTTGACCCTGTCCCGAAGCGGGTTGTGTTGTTCGCTCGGTCGGACGGTCGGTTCTCTAGCCTTCCCGCCGCATCCAGCCCGCTCAGCCCGTCCAAGGATCCCACGCGACCGAAAATCAAGCTTGCAAGGTCTCTTGGACCTTCGTTAGGGCAACTGGACCACTGGCTCCCTCCACCTTTTGCCTGTCACATGGACACGGTTAACGAAAATGAACCGCCGGCGCGCGGGCACCAGGCCGTGTGTCGCCCTCTTTGCGGGACATAGTAGCCTTCTGTCCGAATACCGATGCGGTTCGGGCTTTGCGGCTTACGCCCGGGTGCCCGTCGTAGTGCAATCGTCCCAAGACAACCAGGCGGCGGCGACTTTTCATCTGACAAGTGCCTTTGCTTGGGTCGCGGAGACTTGTTTGTCCGCCGGGCACTATGCACTTGCGCAGCACTCCTATGGATGACCAATTATATGCGCGTGCGCGCCGTTGTGTTTGGTTGCGGAACCTTTCGTCATTCTGCATCTGCACTCGCGAGGAAATGATGGGCCATCCGCACGCGTGCGTTGGATCCCGCGTGGGGCACGCCCGGCTGCATGACGATCCGCTGGACGCTCCCACTGTCTTTCGAGCGTCCCAGGTTCGGTCCCATTGTAATGAGTGCACGTAGGGGTGTTTGAGTTTCGATTGATTCTTGAATGAAAGGAGGGGATTACTCGCTTTTACCCGTTGACAATAGACAGCAGCAAGGGAAAACCCCCCAGTGATCCCCTGGCGTATCGTTCCACCCCCCCCCCCCCCTTCCCCCTCTCAACATGTCTACGATCCAGATGTACCGTCCATTCAGGAGTGTCCTGGCCGTCGTTGTGTCCGCTGAGGTCCCCCGACCCCCTTGTATAACCATCAAACGCCGTCGCTGTG